CCTGCTAATTTATGTCTGCGTGAGACTTCTTGTCTTCTGGTCTGTTGGGAAATTGTCTTTACAAAAAATATTTCTAATAAAATTTTAATATTGATTTTAATATCAATTAGCTCTAAAAGTTGAGGGGCCGCACTTTGTGGCTATGGGGGCCGCATGTTTGACATGGCTGATCTAGATAATCGGCTCAAAGATGACGGTGAGGTTGTCAGCCTTACGCGCCGACCGCCCTTTACCCCTAGGAAGATTGCTGGTACTCATTTCTGTTAGAGGATGAGTCGACCACAGGCCCATAGTGCGGCTGGAAGGTTTAGGTAAATTGAAAAATCCACCGCATCGGGACTTGATCCCGCGACCTTCCGGCTTGCAGCATATTACCTCAACCAACTACGCTACCGGTTGTCCCAGGCCTACGTAATATCAAATTTAAGTTTCATGGTTAAGTTAATTGTGAATATATACCGCACTTACAAATGCATTTACCAGTCCTACATGATTAGACAAAGATGTTACTCACATTCAACCCGCCTAATTTAACAGAATTACAATGTAAGAAAGGAAACTACAGTTTTAAGTGGAATAATACCAAGCATAAATTCATTACTATTATGTATAAAAAGAACTTTTAAGCGACACGTCATAACGTTGAGGAATATTAGTAAGAGACGGAGATGCTGTGCATAATTTCTGTGTTTCTGCCTGACTGACTAATATAATTCAGTTACGGTTCCAGCTTGTAATAAAATGGCTTCCGTATGCATTGTCTTTGAATATTTTTAAAGAAAGTATATGTAATATACATTAATTCTTGGGCACTTCATTGTTTTGATGTGTTATACAACATGATCTAAAAGTCAGTTAAATAATTAGTAAAATGTACACTAAAATACATTAGACACGTTTTTATTTCTTTCTGAATTCACAAATTTGTCAGGAATGAGATCCTCCGTGCTCTGTGCACAACTCACAATATCGTGTTACCGTCATGCAAATTAACAGGCAAGTTTAAGTGTCAATATCCTTATTAATACACGCGATTATTTTGGGTTAACTCAATTTGGGGGCATTTTGCATAAATATAACTGTTCTCGTATTTAATGAACCAGACATTATTGGATGTATAAAGGTGAAAAGGCTTGAATGGGCTGGACACATAGACGTGCCAGCGAGAATAGAACCATCAAGAAAATGCTTAACACTAAACCAGAAGTAAATAGGAGAGTGGGAAGACCAAGGTTAAGATGGAAAGAATATGTGTGGCAGGATATAAGAATTTTGGGTATAAAGAACTGGAGGAATGTAGCATCGAATAGAGAAGAATGGCGAGCAATCCTGAGGAAGGCCAGGGCTCACAAAGGGCTGTCGTGCCAGTGATGATGATGATGATGATGATGATAACTTTTCACGAATTTGATACACTTCCTTCTTCAGGTGTGCCTGAGTATGAGTAAGATAATCAGAGGGATATGTTAAAGAACGAAACCATCTCAATCGCTGGATACAGTTTATCTAGGGGTCACCTGCGTTAAGGAAGTAAAGGGCTGAATCTTAAATACATAAGCACATCATAATTACATAAAATAAATTGATACATTGGACCTTCCATATGAATATGAGACTGGCATTAAATTGGGGAAAATTTTGTAATAAATAACATGCTCCTAATATTCCTCAACTTGATATTTAATTCCTCTTAAATTTCTGCCTCTCATATATTTCTCTTAATTCTGTTTGGGGAGCTAATAGTCGCTCATCTCGTCAAGAATCTCTCGTATTTTTATGGATTCAAAAGGATAAATGTTGTGTATACAAAATCCCGGGAAGCAGACATAAAACAGAAAAAAAATGTTCAAGTTACATTTTTCAAGCTTCCCTACTTCTCTCCCCGATTACTGAGACTCATTTACACGTTACAGACACTCAAGTGAACTTGACACTCGACAAGGGCTTCAAGAGAGTCAGACCAAGAGAAATCGAATACGAACAAAGAGTTCATAGGAATAAGAATGAATGTAAAGAACACCGCGTTGAAATCCTGGTAAGTTCGATCTGTGTTGTTACATTCGCTACTTTGTAGTAACCGTTTCAGTCAGACTGACAATACACCAGCTCCAAGGTAGAGGATTATCCACGAAGAAGTAGTTGTTAACCAGAGAGCCAGAAAACTCTGCTTTTGCGAAACCCGAAAGCCATCGCCGTATTTATAAAGGTCTATTGTGGATATTATCTGAATCCATCTGAGTTCACTGAATACTTTATCGTATTTTTCCTAGATCTATGAGATATAACCTGTATTGCCTTTCCTCCTTCTCCTGTGTCTGCAAAGTGGTATCAGCTCTTTTGGTTTCCAGGCAAAATAGCTGCACGAATTTAAGTCCTTTATGCGTGACAAATATCACGGCAATCTTATTCTCTCCTGTTTTCTCACAACACGAATATTAGCCAAGAAGCGCCTCTCATTTTTTTATTTTTTCTATCCTCGTCTTAGATCCACTTTCTTACAGATGTAAGTATTTTCCTCAGATACCTGTAATTTATTATATTGTATTGTTCCAAGTGACAAATGAAGTTTCTCATCCACCTGTATATAGTTTTGTGTGGGTCCCGTGTCGTAGCTTTACGGCACGTAAAAGAACCTCATGCCTCAAGGAGGTCTCTGAGCCAAATTACAAGGACGTTTCCCGCCCAACAATAGTCTCTAACGCCTCTGGTAGATGGGGGAAGCATCTAGATACCGCTGAGTCAGTAGAGGCCGAACTCGCTGGCTGAGTCGGGACTGATGGCACGCACCAGTATCGGTAGGGTATAGAGACTGGTAGAATATCACAAGGGGACGTACAATAGACCACTGGTCGCGGTGCATGGGGAAACCCACCCCCTCCAATAATAATAATTCAATTCAATTCAATTCTTTATTATTTATGTGCTGAGCCAACAGCCGTAAGGCCAATTATAGACTCAGCACAGTGTATGATAGAAGTAGTTACATACTGGACAAACACAATATAAAGTCAAACAATGATTAAAGGTTAATGTTGGAGGAAAACAAATTAATACATATAAATAACATACATAATAATAATAATAATTCAATTCAATTNAATAATAATAATAACAATAATAATAATAATAATAATAATAATAATATAGTTTTGTAGCCTTTATGACAGGACAAGAGAATGTAAAAAGTATACGGTGTACAGTTTCGATTAAAGGGAGACACCGTTTATTGTATACGCCCTACATATTTTTACGTATTTATGTGTATATGGTGGCATATAGATCAGTTACTGGGCAACGACCGCGAAACAAACGAGACAACAGTCGTTGCTAGGCAGCGGTCAGCCCACCAATAGACCGGCTGGAAAGCGGTGTTTTCTGCGCTGTCCACGGCGATGACTGCGTATGCAACACTGGATAGAATAATGAGGAGTTTTGTTTTCTATACGGTTCGTGCCAATAAGTTAGAAGCGGAACAAAGTTTAGGTCCCGTGTAGAGCCGGGGTCAAACACCTCCATCGCAGCCCTACGAGTTGTAGGAGGCGACGAAAATGGAACGCAGTGCCGGAGGTATAACCAGGCCACACTGTTCCTAGGTAGTGTAAATGCGGGGACCTAGCCCTCAAATTTGGGAGAATCTCGAATCTGAAACCGTAAAATAAGCTCATGAGTCCCACAGGACTCGGACTCTAGGATGACTGGGCTGGCGAGGACCCATAACAATTGTAAACGACTGACCCATCCTCTCTTCAGAGAGGATGTTCCATAAGGACTATAACCGCAAATATTCAGTTTGAAAATAAAATTACTGGCTGTGAGTCTCAAGGGATTTGTCGCCAAGACGAACTGATTAACGGTAACCTTCCAGTCGTAACGTAACCATGAATGTGACTCTGATATTATCAGGATACGTTACCAGGAAACGACTAGTGAAGGCTTAGAAGACGTTACGTGTGTTGGAGTTACAATAATCTTCATAAAGTGTATAAACTAGTTAGGCTGTTACAGATACTTGTAGTTAGGAGTTGTGTGTATAAGTGGTCAGCAAACCAAACCCCGTCTGTAGTTCACTTTAACACGTGACAATATCATATATGTTAGTCTTGCACCGGAAGCTCTATGTTTATTGCTTTCAACCAACATATTACCAAGGCTTAGAATGCAATGAACTCTGTCTCCAAGTTGTCTACATACCTAGACTTTTAGAGAACATTTCTAATGAGCATTAGGAAATCTACATATCTCTTTATCGAAAATATATGATCTTATAACTACATTTTGGTATGTATATTTATCTGACTAATGCCGCTCCACTTCGTAGTTGCCTTATATTGACACACCGGGGACATACGAGTACATCTGTCCTGTCTGCCTACCCGTACTTGGGTTCAGCATGTTAGAGAACACGTTCAAAATACACATTGGCGTCTGCTTACCCACCTTGCCATTCGCATTTCATATTTGCAGTAATAGCCGTAATTTAAATCAGAAGGGTCTGAATCAAGCAGTAGCAAAACTTCTGAATGCAAAATATATGTGCCGGATTCAAATCCCTAGGCAGTATAAAAAATATAGTTATGAAATATATGGTTCCATGATGAAATGGAATTGGTGTGCATAATTCCTCGCTTCCGTGTGTACTATGTTGTATAGCAGTAAATTTACCATTCTTCCCGTCTAAAATTCTCGGGACTACCAACATGAAAGTTTCCTCTCTTCACTAAACATAAATTTCCCGTGTTCCCTTGACACCTACAAGTATATTCTGTCGCCCTAACTTCTACAGCAGCACGTGCTCTGTGCTTTCTTTCTCAGTGGCGGTACGTAATAAATAGAAAATATTGCATTATGACCATGGATAAATGGACTTGTTTCTGGATTCACAAGTTATACAGAACTACGTTTATAAAACCATTTCTATTGCAATGTAATTATATGCGCGTAAGAAATTTGAACAATACTTCGTGTGCACGCAAACATGTAAGAGCGGCTAAGACTGCGCGGCGTGTATAAATGTTCAGAAATGTTTTTCGGCTGTTGGCAGCTCGAGGTGGAAGACTGTCAATGCGTGCCATCATCGTTGTAGAGAATTCTATTTCCTTTGTTACATTCTGAGAGTACTAGATTAGCTTTGAGGCTGAAGCGTGCAGCAATACAAGAAAGCATACTATCAGACAATGCACAGTGTGAATCATGCCGTATGCAGTTAGAAGTGTCTGACAGTTAGAGACAATTTCGTGACGTATGCCAGAAGTGGCCAGGAGTGCGCTCTAGGAGGGCGACCAAGCAACAATCGACAAGTCTGAACACGCCTTCCCAGCTACTGGAACCTACCATTACAGGCCAAATATCTTATCCGATGAAGATTTTGAGCCATATGAGATCACGCGCAGAGATAAGACATCTGATGAGAATTTGGAAGAGAATGAAGACGAACATTCAACTGCTGCCTCTTCCACTCGTGTCAGCGGTCCTGGTCTGCTACACCTGATAATAGCTGCTGACAGAAAGTACTCCTTGTACTTGCATACAAGCAATAAGTCCATTACCAAAAGCTTCGGGGAGGGGGACAATGCAAGACAAAATTTCAGGCATCAGAAATTTTGCCTGAGACAGTCTACAAAACGTTTACTAAAAGCAAAGAAAAGGCAAAAGCAAGTAAAACGAAAGGAAGAGTAGAGCGGCAACTGAAAGGGTTGAAAACAGCTCAGAAGACAGAAAAATCAGAAAGTCAATAAATAGAGCAAGCTGAAAATTGAGCCCTCGCAAGCCATCTATTTCCATACCTTCATCAGTCGCCTTTGCGGGGTGTGAAGAGACTGGGTCCAAAGCGGAAGCTGTCTGCATTGGTGACATGAGGATTGTTCCGGTCGCAGCTTCCTGTGTGACCGCTGATAAATCTGACGCATGCGAACTCTTTCACTCCACTCTGTGCACTCTTGTCTGCCCAGATGTTCACGAGTGCGCATTTTGCAAGCTCTTTTCGAAGCCCTACTGTGAAAAGTGCACAGTCGTACGTTTTCTGTAAATTTTTTATGACCTTTGTAGCCAGTAGATGGATAAAGCTTGACATGTATTTAAAATGTATCTATCACCGTACATAACGCTGAGACTAGTCGAAAAACTGTGAAATGAACAATCTTACTCCATTTCTCTTATGTTGTTTTGTTCTTTTAAGCAGAAAATCGCAAGTAGCTCGCAGTTACATTTTAATTCATGTTGTATGTCACAAACTTTGCAATGTTAAACTTTTCTTGTCTTCCATAGCGATTAAATCAAGATTTCTCCAAGCCTATCGAGCTGAGGATGCAATATGCTCCCGTAGACAGATCACAAGGTGAGTACCATCACCAGTGAAGACAAGGGTAATGCTGAAGTTATGGTAAAATCCCTAAATGAGATATTTTGACAGCAGTTCCAGCAACTACTAAAAATATGTGTGTTGTCATTTAATGAATAACGCCAGTGTGTGTAAATTATTTTAACAGCGATGTATTCACAAGCGGGTTGATAGTGTAAAGTAAACTGAATCATGTGCCCAAAGGGTAACAGAGGTAACAGTGTCCCCTTTTGTGCCTCGACTCCGGGTTGAACTTAGTGATGAATTTTACATTCTGAGCACTTTCTTCTGAAGAAATAACGCCCGTTACTTATTGTAAAGGATGCAGAGTTGGGCCCAGAACTGGATTAGTTTGACCCGAAACAGATTATCTCAGAAAACTTTGAATATCACATTACGTATTATTACTCCACACGTTGTTAACAGTTTTACACACATGTTTAGGTTTCTTGATGTGTGAAGTATCTTATGACAGCCCTCTTCACAATTTAAATAAAATTATTAAAGTGAAATAAGTGACAAGCCTCGGTTCCCTCGCATACCGTATTTACGCATGTATAGGCCGCGTGCGTGTATAGGCCGCAGCACAATTTTCAGACAGAAATTATAGAAAAAATAATTTTCTTGGAATATTATTTCAGGAGTATTAAACCCTGTATTACTAATTATGAATATAATTTTTTTTTAAATGAAGTGTGATTTCGAATATTTCGAATATGAGCCGCACCCCAGTTTTCCTCTTGAATTTTTTGGCAAAAAATGTGCGGCCTATACATGCGTAAATACGGTATATTAATAATGACATTACTCTGTGTAAAATATGAAATCTCTACATACCAATAATCTCCTCTCCCTCAAATAATATATTAGATCATGGTATATAACAACAATGACGGTTATGTAGATGTAGTAAAGTAAAAGATAAAATTATGCCTGTGTTTAATTAATTAAGCACTATGCCATTAAGACATAAGATGTAGTGATGGTACAGCTCCTCCATTCTTCAACTTGGTTCTAGGTGGAGTTGAGTGGTCAGTTTCACGTCCCAGCTGCTTTACCCCTAGGGAAAGAGCCCCCTGTACCCATTGAGTAGGAGGCTGGGTAGGCTCCAGAGCCGGTCTTGAAACTGTGGAGTAGAGAAACATCTCTTGCCCACGCTGGAAATGGAACCTCAGCCGTGTAGCTAGTAGCCAGCTGCTATACCGACTGAGCTTCTACCCAAAAATAAGCGCACTTTTATTCAGTACCAAATTTAACAGGGCATATGAAAAAGAAAATTGAGTGTGATTTATGTTTAACTATTTTTCTTTATTTAATAAATCTGTTTTTTTGCGGTTTGCTATTAAAGAACTGTAAACAACTGAACCTGCAGCTGCTATATTTTTATGCAGGCAACGAATTTTGCAAGGCATGTGCAGTGGTAGATCCCAGGAAGCCAACTTCTGTAACCTCGACGTTACCATATGTCACTGGCTGCATTAGGGACGACATGTGTACGCCCAACCTCAGCATCACAGCGGAATTCATCAACCTGAAGTGAGTTATAGTTAAAGCATGGTACAGGTAGGTCTGCGCTCCGATTTAACTCTCTTCGTGCATACATGGTTTCCATTCTTATGAATACTCTCTCTACGCAACCTGCTTTTTCACTTTGCGGCATGTAAACCCGCTGATAGGGGACGACTCAGTAGGCACGTTCCCGCTGCAACGAATACGCAGGAAACAATCGAATAACTTCCGTCGTTACGCAACGACGCTGTAAATACAGCAATAATGGAAGCGGTGTTTTCTTTGGTTGTTGGAGAGGAGAGGACAGGCTAATATGCCACCCCGCTAGCTGTTTCCAAGGTCATAGAAACTCGGCAAAAAAAAAAAAATTAACAAACCGACCCGTCGGACCGAGGATCACAATTTCTTGTCAGATTCGCCCCTAACAGTAACAGCCACACGTTCTAAGTACTTCATTCCATGATACAGGCTTCCGCTGATAATCGGCTCGCAGTCCACTGTGACTCTCAGAGTGGTGGTGCAGAACAGCGAGGAGCCAGCCTTCTTGGCGTTTGCTGTCATTTATCTGCCAACTTCCTGCCCTCCGGTCCGAGTTCCGAATGCATGTAAGATGTCCGACGGCGAGGACGAGACTGCACCAACTACACGGACTGCGCCTAAGAAAGAGCTGAGATGTCTAGTGGCTAATCCTCTACGTAAAGGAGTGAAGGTAAACCGTCTCCCCGCTGTTTCAACAGCCTCGATCAATGGATCTACAGGGGATGGACAAAAATATGGAAACACCTCATGGAATGCATGCCTGAATTGAAGTGTTCATTTTAGCGACGTTTGTAGGTGACGCTGCCGTATCTGCCCAACACCACTACCTGTACAACCTCCGCAATACGTTGCAGGCTTCATTTGTTGTCGAGAGAGTGTTCTGTGCAATTTTTAGTGCAGCATGTCAGAGCTAACAGAATTCGAACGCGGTCAAATTGTTGCGGCCCATATGGTGGGTGCTTCTGTAACCAAGGTAGCCGAGGTTTTAGGTGTTTCGCGAAGCACAGTATCCAAGATTATGACCGCATACAGAAGGACTGGAAAAACTGCATTCGATAAACACCAGCGTGGACGGAAATGTGTGTTGAGTGATAGAGACAGACGAACATTGCGTATGATTGTGACGAAAAATAAGAAGACTACAGCTGCAAAAGTGACTGCTGAACTGAATGTCATGCTCAAAAACCCTGTCAGCACCAAAACAGTACGAAGGGAACTCCACAAGCAGGGTATTTCTGGACGAGCTGCAATTCCAAAGTCACTCATCGGTGATCAAAATGCCACTAAGAGGACAGTGTGGTGCCGAAGTCATAAAACCTGGACTATGGAGCAATGGAAGACGGTCATTTGGTCGAATGAGTCCACCTTCACACTATTTCCGACTTCTGGCCGAGTTTATGTCTGGAGAACGCCATCCCAAGCTTACGATCCAGATTGTTTGCTGCCAAAAGTGAAACATGGCGGGGGTTCGTTCATGGTATGGGCAGCCATATCATGGTATTCTGTCGGAACCATCATTACCCTGCAAGGTCACGTCACTGCCAAAGACTATGTGACCATTTTGGGCGACAAGGTCAATCCCATGGTGCAAATTTTGTTCCCCAATGGTGATGCCATTTACCAAGACGACAATGCCCGTCTTCACACAGCTCACATCGTCCAAGACTGGTATTCTGAGCACTAAGATGAAGTGTCACGTCTGCCATGGCCCCTACGATCGCCAGATATCAATATTATTGAGCCTTCGTGGTCTGTTTTGGAGAGCAATCTGCGTGCGCGCTATCCACCTCCATCATCGATAACAGAACTTACCATGTTTTTCAGGAAGAATGGTACAAGATTCCCTTGCAAATCATACAGGATCCCTATTTATCAATTCCAAGGAGACTGCAGGTAGTTCTGCAAGCCAGAGGTTGTCCTACTCCATATTAGTCACGGTAATGTGTTTTTTGTTGGGTGTAGCCATATTGTTGTCCATCCCCTCTATGTTGCAGTACAGTCTATGGTGCTAGGAAATGGCGAATTGCAAGCATATTGAACTTAAGCGGCCTTGACCTGTTGGAACACAAAAATATAGAGTTTATGCTGTACACAGTGGAAATTCTTAACTTTGAATGTTATCAATTATGGAACGAAAAATATATTCAGTTCTAATTTCATTTTTATCTCTGTTTCTTATACCTTGAAGAACCATCGTTCTGTTGTTTCTTTTTTTTTTTCCTTGGCACTACAGCCCCAGTGGGCCTAGGCCTACCTCCATGAACTTCTCCAGTTGTTTCGTTATATCTGTTTATTATACACTCTACGCACCAGCCGCGGAAAATTACTACATTCGGAACTGGTAATATTTGTCTATCTATTCGTCCGTACATTCTAACTTAAAAACCGCTGGAATGATTTCTACAAAATTTAATATAAAATTTTTCCGTTAGGGGGCTACCTAAACTTTTCCTTTCCCTACAAGCAATAATGCTAACATGATGAATGCACGAAATCTGAGAGGGAAGGCACTAGCGCTACCTGATAAAACATCCTGAAAATTTGTATGATGTTTGAAAAATTGAAAATTTTGTAAGCT